TTTGGAAGAAGAAATTGTAGATATTTAATAAATGTTTATTGTGTGTAAACCACTGTAGCATATATAATCACAAGTTGTATCCAGAACATAATGGATGTGTTCATAGTCATGTTCACGATTTCATTACAGGTCCCATCTCCTGACCTCCCATCCATGAAGCAGCCCTTATAGAAGTGTCAATGGGACAGACTAACAATGTGACAGAATTTGTCCTCCTGGGCCTCACTCAGGATCCTGAGGGGCAAAAAGTATTATTTGTCATATTTTTACTCATCTACATTGTGACAGTGGTGGGCAATCTGCTCATCGTGGTGACTGTTTTTGCCAGCCCTTCCCTGGGCTCCCCCATGTACCTCTTCCTTGCCTGTCTGTCACTCATAGATGTGGTTTATTCCACTGTCGTTTCACCAAAATTTTTTATAGACTTACTGCATGATAAAAAGACAATTTCTTTCTCAGCTTGTATGGGACAGCTCTTTGTGGAACACATATTTGGAGGCGCTGAGGTCTTCCTACTGGTGGTGATGGCCTATGATCGATATGTGGCTATCTGTAAGCCACTACACTACCTAACCATTATGAATAGAAAGGTTTGCATCGTGCTGTTGGTGGTGGCCTTGGTTGGAGGTTTTATGCACTCTACGTTTCAAATTCTTGTTGTGTACAGCCTCCCCTTCTGTGGTCCCAATGTCATTAACCACTTCTTCTGTGACATGTACCCGTTATTGGAACTCGCCTGCACTGACACCTACTTTGTAGGCCTCACGGTTGTTGCCAATGGTGGTGCAATCTGTACGATCATGTTTATCATTCTGCTAATTTCCTACGGAGTCATCTTAAATTCCCTTAAAAGTCACAGTCAGGAAGGGAGGCGCAAAGCCTCTGCCTGAAGTTCTCACGTCACGGTGGTTGTCTTCTTTTTCATTCCCTGTATTTTCATGTATGTTAGACCTGTTTCTAACTACCCCATTGATAAATATGTAACTGTGTTTTATACGGTTATCACTCCCATGTTGAATCCTTTAATATACAGCCTGAGAAATTTGGAGATGAAAAATGCTATGAAAAAACTGTGGGGTAAAAATTTAACTATAGATTTAATAAGAATGTGCCACTAATAGTAAACATATTTGTTACTAATTCCAAAGTAGAAAAGAAGCAGTAAATTCTAAAACAGATGATGTAGTGAATTCAGTGGATTTGAATATATGGAGTAAATCGTGTTTGAGATTAGAATCAATCTAGCAAATTTTGGAGGATAATTAAAAGATACAGGTATTTGTCTTATTCGAAGAAAAAATAAACTAAGTTCAACTTACAATTTTTTTCTTAGATTACATTAAAATGACCCACAGAAGAGTTTTTTTTTTTTTCAAAAGTGATAAACAAGTTACATTTGGAAATTCACTTTTACCCAAATTAATGAGAAAGCAATTGGTTAATATTCAGAAGAATTTTCTGGAGCTAAAAGAATA